AATAGTCTTAATAATAAAAGTAATAACGATTATGCTAATAGTAATGATAATGAATATAAAAATGATAATTTGTATATATACATACATACATACATATATATATATATATATATATATTATATAATTTATATATATATATTATGTATATATCTATATGTATATATATCTATATATTATATATATATGTATATATAATATATATATATATTATATATATATATATATATATATAATATATGTATATATATATGTGTGTGTGTGTGTGGTGTGTGTGTGTGTGTGTATATATATATATATATTAATATATATATAATATATATATATATATAATATATTTATATATTATAGTATATATATATTATATATATATTATATATGTATATATATATATGTATATATTATATATACTATATATATATTATATATATATATATATATTTATATATATATATAAGTGTTATATTATAACATTACACACACACAGAAATGATGATATGATAAAATTGATATTGACTCGAATAATGCTATTACTGTTATTACTGAAGATAATCAGTAGTAATAACAATGATAAAAATTAAAATAAAGATAATGGCCATATAAATGATGATAACATTAATAACATTTACACTACAAATGATAATGATGATTATGAAAGTGATATTAATAGTAGGAATAATAAAAATAGTAGAGCATCATAATCACAGTGATAATAGGGATGATATTAGTACAAATAGTATTAATAATCCTAATAATGATGATAATGAATAATAACAATAATAATATATATTAAACAAACAAACTAATGAAAATAAATAGCCTCCATCTAAATACTGTATTTTACGCAACACGGAGCACAATTGGCCGTTGTCTTTTGTGTGATTCGCGCAAACGCCTGGACAAACATCTGTGTTGAGTGCAAGGCATTGGCAGGGTGTCACACATGTTGCTCCAGATGGTTACTATTTCTGTACGTTTATGTGGGTGACTGTGTGACTATGTCAGTGTGTGTGACAGTGTGTGAGCGTGATTGTGTGTGTGTGTTGTGTGAGTGTGATCGTTGTGTGTGTGTGTGTGTGTGTGTGGTGTGTGTGAGTGTGTGTGTGTGTGTGTGTGTGTGGTGGTTGTGTGTGTGTGTGTGTGTGTGGTGTGTGAGTGTGAGTATGTTATAGATATTATTATTCTACTTTTCTATGTGTGCATTGTATGTTTGTATGTATGTGTGTGTACGTATGTATGTTTGTAATTTGTATAATAAACTGAGACATTATACAAAACACAGAAAATGGTAATTAATGAAAAGTCGGAAATGAATAACTATGAATAATAATACTATACTAATGCAAGCGGACAGTCCACCAAATCGACAAGGGTGCTAAGTGGAAGCTGACGCGGAAAGTTTTTTTGTATATGCATCCATTTGATATAATGAATAAAACTTTGCCTGATCAGAACGAAACCACATCACTAGGGCCAGAAAACTGGCAAGACGATGCACCATACCAACTGAGCACAACACAACCCACGTAAAAAGGAGTGTGCAACTAGGGAGCTATTCTAGCTTCCATAGACAATTATCTATCTACTCATACTTTGAAGTTAGGGATAGCTGGAAGTTTTACACACCATCCCCATGGGATTCTCAGTAGTTATTGAGAGAGCACTGTTCAAAATCCAAATCAGAAGTACTGAAGTGTAGTAATGAAAAGATGCATAATGCACTACTGTATTGGATAGATGAAATAAATAACGCTCTTCCAATCGGGAGACTTGAACCCATGTCATTTAGTAATAACTGCAGACAACACCATACAAAAATGAACTGTACGACCCTAAGGTGAGTATGCAACTAGGAGCTTCCAGTTTCCACAGACACTACCTACCTATCATATTTAAGTAAAGGATAACCAAGTTTTTACACCACACTCATGTGGCACTCAGTAGTTCAAATTCAATATCAGAAGTACTGAGGTGTAATAATGAAGATAGAATTGAGCTATCACACTGAATATGAGATAATAACCCTCTCCGATCGGTGACGAAACCAATGTCATGTTGGCAGGTAAATGGTATAAGCCAACTCCCACAACCTGCAGTACGGCATACTTTCCCTAGGTGGGTCCCAGGTCTGTGCTGCGTCTCGCACCTCACCATCAGCAGCTTCTCAAAAGATTAACTCAAGACTGAATTGGTTGACACAGACACCTCACAGCTTGCCTATTGGACTGCAGGCTTCTCCCTCGCTCCTGGGAGCTGGCATAGCTAGAGATATGAATTACATCAGATTAAATTTGATGCCATAACATGAGAATAATCAGGCCTAACACATCATTTTAGCTCGAGCACCCGGGCCGAGATCATCACTCCACATTCCTCCAAGAGCCCGACCAGAGCAAGCAGCTCCAAGCCTACCACAGCCTTAGCCATCAGCTTCCCTGTCGATCTCCACACTTCTCCGCAGCACCCAGGCATATCTGTGGGAACTCACACCACAACAAGTACTCCTCAAAGAGATAAGACCAGTCAAATAGAGGATGACCCCATTCTCTATAACTGCTAGACAGACGCTCATATCAACTGAGCTACACGACCCACTAAAAGGATTGTGCAATTACGAAACTATCTAGCTTTCACATAGACATTACCTATCTACTCATACTAGAGTACGGATAGCGAAGTTTTTACACATACACCCCAAAGTTTCACATCACTCAGTATTCAAATCCAAACGAAAAGTACTGAAGGTGTATTAAAGAAAGGATGGAATAATGTACTGCATGATATGATGAAATAAATAACCTATCGCGATCAGGACTCGACCTATATCATTACAGGCGGTAAAAATGCCGCACACCACACAACACACCACACACACACACACACACACACACACACACACCCGCACACACACACACACAAAACCAACACACACACAAAACACAACACACACACACAAACACACACACACACACACACACACACACACACACAAGCACACACACACAGCACACCCACACACACACAACAAACACAACACACAACAAAACACACACCACAAACACAAACACACACACACACACAAAACAACACACACACACCAAAACACAAACCACACACTCCACACACCACCACAAAACACAAACCACACACAAACCACACACATACACAACACCAAACACACACACACACACACATACAACACAGACCACACAACACACACACCCAGACATGCACAACACACACACACAAACACAGACAGACACACCACACACACCACACACACACACACAACAACACAGACACACACACGTGGCAAACATCAACACAGACACACACAATCAGACACAGATCACAACTACACACTTCGACAAAATACGCACACACCACTGAGTACACGTCATCACAAACCACAGGTCGAGTCTGAAGCATAGACCACTCAAACCCAGAGCAGACGAGTCCATCACACGAGCATCGTAGTTAGCTGCGTGGGCATGGCATCTATTTTTGTCCTTACCTTTTTTTTCTGGTAGGGCCATAAAATGAAGTTCCCCATACTGCATGTAAATGCTGACAGACTGCAAATATCAAATAAGTTGAAGAAGTACAGAATCTTTGTCTATTTTATAATTGTCATGGTAGAGCTTTCACTTTTAATGGCTAGGACAGATACTACTACTACTCCTATTATGGTCCCATCTGATAAAGAGCCAAATGGAACTTCAAAGTCTTGCTTGTTACTCCTAGTTGCATTTATTGGTGTTAGATAATACTGTATTGTTTTTTTGTTTTTTTTTTATATTGACTTCCAAGTTATATTACTAGCCCATTTATTTTTTTTTCCCCTCCTATTCAAAGGTCAACCCGTCAAAACATACCACAAATGAAGCAAGAGTTTTTCAGAATCTCTTCAGAGAATTCTGCTTCTCACTCCTGAGATCTGCAACGTGTTCAATAATCACACCAAAAGATGAGGTTCAACACAATAATGATCACAATGAAGAGAACAGGAGATCATAGATGACTCTTGGCACAAAGTAGTTTTCCTGAAAGAAGAAAAAAAAAGTCAATATATATTCAAATATATATATATATATAGAGAGAGAAGAGAAGATCTATAAGAACCCATGTAATTCACAACACGTTAATACAATATAAAGAATCAAACTCGGCATAAAAGAGACTCACATTAGTTGAATGTGGCTGGAGAATGTCACCAATGCCTCTCCACTTCGTAGTCCATGATCAGTGTTGTGACAATGCACATGAGGAGGGATGAGCAAGCATTTTCCTTTTTGTCACCTACTCTATCAACAGATTTGACTTGTCTTCCAGGATGCAATAACATCTGTTGCTACGTCCTTGCAACTGCACAAATGGATATCAAATAACAATGAAATAATTGCCTTCTCTCTGGTACCTGGGTGCTTTTTTCAGAATGTATTGCATACTGATATGAATTTAAAATGCATAGTACTGCTATTTCATAAACGGAAAATATGCAATAACTTTTACAGTTTAGAGAGAAGCTGAAAGTAAATCATGGGAACTATATCATCATGATTCCAAGTATACATAAATAATGATCTTTTTCTTTAGATTCACATTAAACTTTCAATTTGTTATTCCAATATATGATAGCCTTACTACTATCAGGACCAAATTTATGGAAAGTAATAAACCCAGTGAATCCCAATTTCCACCCACCAGCACCTTCCCATATTGTCCTGGTATGCTGCTATTCAGCCAACTCACAACCACCAACTTAACCAAAGTCAGCAGAGCTCAGGACCATGATTTCTGAGGCAATCTCTGGACATGCGAGAAATAAAATCCCCACCCCAAAAAATCTTCATTTGCATTATCCTAGTAAAATAAAATCTTCACAAATAAAATTATATGAAGGAAAGCAAGTTCAAATCATTCCAATGTCTAAAAAAAAAAGGGGATAAAAATCCAGAATACAGAATTTTGAGATATTACACTAAATTCCATGATGATATATCCCACATGATATCCCTTTAACTATCTATACCATAAACAAATGTCATGGCTAAATTGATTAAGCAGAGCAATATCAATAAGCTACACTTACAACTCTTTGCCTCATCCTCAGTGCAATCTGCACCAATTTCACAAGTGCCTTCAGCTGTAAGCGGCTTCAACTGATTTGTCACATACTCCTGCACTTTTTCATCAATGTCCTTCTGTATTGTGTCTGAAATAAATATGGGTACATCAATCACCACGCCATCCTCCTCATAATGATGGCATCAATAATATAATAGTACTTTTCAATCAAAAAATGCACTCCCAGGAACCACATTTACAAGCAAACCTTTGCTACTCACCCCAGTCCATAACGTTCTCTGGAACATCCACTAAGAAGTCATCATTGAAGAATGTGTAGCCAATGATGGAGAATAAGTATACTAAGATAAGGGCAAGTGCTGCAGTCAAGATAATAGACCAGCCATTGCGGGTAACAGACCTCATCACATTTAGCAATGTCTCCTCTCTGTAGACGACATCAAACAGCTGTGGTAAAGGATAAAGAATGACCGCTCTGGCTCACTATAGAATAAGGTCTTCAAAAAGGATGTTCTCAATATAATATTGAAGAATAGTATCAGAAACAACTTTTTTATGGAACATATTTTTTTCAAAAGCATTAAAATGATAAATAACAAATACAGTTAAGCAAACTTTCAAATACAAATAACTTAAATAACTTATTTCCTTAATTCTAAATTAGCTGCAGTGGCTCAAGGCATAACACTTCAGCTAAGAAGGTAAGGTATGGCTCATTTTTCTTGGGAATAGTAGATAGGACATGTCAGAGCCACTTTTTTATTTTCCTTCTTTTTCCCATAAAGCAGGGAAGAGCAACATAAACATGTTAGTTTTATGATTTTTTTTTTAAATAATGAGGCTGTAATTTGATAAAGAGTAAAAAAAAGTGTCAAGAACATGCCTATTCTTACCACATCTTCATGACTGAAACATTAAAACTATCTCAGTCCCAAAAATATATGTATACTCCTACTGTTTTCTCTTAGAAAAAGAGGG